CTGCAAAGATTGTGTGTTTATTCGTTTATTTCATTAATGCTGTTTTTGACAACTCATTTATCTTCATCTTTTCTCTAGCTCATCCCCATTTCACTCCTTGACACAAAAAATGGTAGGAGTGTACGCCATGGGTTGATAGAATATCCGAGTATTTTTGATACCTACTGAGGAAGCGTTTGAAACCGCATTATTTTTGTATTGTTTTATATTCCCTACCCACAACTGTGGTAGCCATTGTTTAAGATTGAGGAAAATCCTCGTCATTTTTTCAAAATTACTGTTTTTTTTGCATACAACTAATTAAGTAGAATGTATGCTTTGCGTTCATTCGATGGACCAGCGTCAGGTAAAGGCCACCTTAAAGCATATTTTTGAAAAGACTACGTTTTTGCTTCTTGCGATCACAACTTCTCGTCCTATAGGTCTCTTCTGGCACCTCACAGACATCCATGTGGATATGGACTACGAGAAGCATTCTTGTCAGGGACTATTGGGTGACCAAGAGTGCGACTCACCTCTAAGATTGTGGCAGTCAGCGCTAAACGCCACTCGTCAAGTGCTCCATACAGCCCCGGATTTTGTTGTCTTTTCCGGGTCAGTGCACGTTAGTGGAATGCATGTTCGCAGTGCAGCACGATAAGTCTGTGCACCTTTGTTACAGAAGTCGATCCTTATTATAGTCTCACTCTTGTGTCCTCGGAAGTTTGACTTTTACCTCAACTTTACAATTAAATTGATGCATGACTAAGTAGTAAATGTTTGTGATGTTGAATAGACTGTGGAAAAAAAACATTAATTGTCGGAAAGATGATACTGGTTTGTCAGAAATAATTTGTTCGGTTTTGCAGCATATATTTGTCATTTTAGGGCTAATGGATAAGCATAAACAAGAAGTCTTTGTCATGCATAGCATCTGAGCTGTATTAGGTCGCTTCGTCTTTCCACCGTAATGCAGAAGAAGGGTGAATGTCAAAATGGTCGGTTTAACCGCCATTTTCACGCCGTTTATTTTGTGTCGCCTTGGTTTGTTTGTCTGTCTAACATGGTTCGACTCCTTGTGAATTCCACTGTGGTCGGAGAGTGGTAGCTTTTCCGGCTCTGGCCTAGGTTTTTGAGGGCGAATTCATCCTTCGAAATTTTACTTCTCTTTGGGTATCCTTTTTAGTCAGCAATATGCATAAGGATTTTCAATACAAACTTGAATTGTAATTACAATCAACCCAGTTTCCGCACCTCCATGTGTTATCCAGTTCTCCTTGTCGCCAAAACCTATTCTGGCATTTTTGCAGCACTTTTGGAGTCATTTTTTGAGGCAGTGCAGTGGTGGTTATCCCTTCTCTTGGTGATCACGGTTAAGCTTTGCAAAAATGTGTGATTTTGTCAAGTCTTCTGTCTGGCATTGCAGGTGGTGACTGTATTACATCAATTCATCACCTTTTTATGCAATTTGCGCTTACAGAGGAAAAGGACAGAAGACGATGGCTTTCTTGTATGTCTCATTTTCTTATTAGCCTCCGATTCAACGCTTGCTGTGTTTTCGCACACCCACACATTCAAGCACTTACGTCCATGTACACAAAGACTTTTCATTCAAGATCTTGGTTAATCGACGTCAATATTCAGCAATTTTTCCATTTACCGCCTATGCAAGCGTGCACAATGCTAATCTCTTTCACATGGCGCTATTAATAGCAACGCTTGTAAGTGGCTTGTGATTGTATCTTACACAGATAACGGTGGAAAATCGGTGCTTGTGAGAAGCCGAATTTGGTCTTCTCTGTAACTTTTGGTATTTTGAAGGCATACTAGCTGAATAAACACTTCATACCTGTAAGGGTGCTTTCACTGTAAATGCAATATCTCAGGTAAAGAGGTGATAGGCCGGCGATTGTAACCCCAAAAATGCCTGGCTTCTGACAAGGGTGATATTGGAGCACTTGTAATGAATGCTGGAAGGTGGTAAAGAAGTTAGATGGTTGGCTGGATTTTATGTTCATTTGAATCACTGCTGTTTGTGCGTTTCAAGTCTGAGCTTACGTCTTAACGATGGGTGATATATGAAAACGCTTCAGGAGAATGCTCTCACGACTCACCAGTGATCGGTTTGTTGATTGACTTATGTAGAGACTCTGTCACCCACGGCAACATTACGCAGGATGCCTTCGAACGTACCATGAAGATAGTGGCTTCAGCTTTGAAGTCCGTTTTCCCATCGGATAGCTCTAGGCAGCAACAGAACAACTCCGTCCCGGTAATCCTCACTGTGGGCAACCATGACGTCTTCCCGGATAACGATATGTCCGTTGAGGCGGGTGACGCGGATCGACGTCAGTGGTGCACTCGTCTCGGTTCAAGTCCGACACTTTGGGGCGATTGGATTGCAAATGCCCCTGATGCTGATGTGGATAAATTTAACGATGGTTAGTAGTCTGCCAGGCTTACGTAACCTTATGCTGTCCACCTCATCTGTTGTAAACGTTTATTCGCTGATAACTCTGCTACTGATTTGTTCAGCCATCCATCCACTTTAATCTCATCCATTCGCCAAGTTTGGATCCAACAATGCGGTAATCATACCGACGATGTCATTTATGGACGAGATGGGTTGTTGCAGTGTGTTCTTTCTTACTGGAACTACGTGTGTTTTACACGTAATAGTAATAAGCTGCCTGACAGATTTGTTGCGGTTTTCGGGTAAACTTCCGATTCCTTTTA